GTCTCTGGGTAGAGAATTACACACCCCACCCTACCCCACCAGCGGTAATATTGTTTTCTAGGATTGAAATTAAAACAATGATTCTACTAGATGGTTGAAATGGCAGATAGTACAAATCCTCAGCTTTATCAGTCTACCCATGTCTTCATCTTATAAAGCCAAAGAATGCTGAAAAACGGGATAGACTGTAATTTCTTGGTTGATGCCAGGATTTTGTTACCTCTGGAATCTACAAAAGTGATCTGCCCTGCAGACGCAGAGGTAATTCCCCATTCCAAGTCTTTTGCGCCAAACACAAATGATTGGAAAGGATACTGGGTTTTATGAGAGGACTGAGAGCAGAAAGACATAGAAGAGGAAGAGAAAAAAAATCTATTGTTTTTAATAAGCCTAACTGAATTAAAGTCAGATGAAAAGAAATTTCGTGTAAACATATGGCTCTGTTTGATAAATGGGAACCCTAGGTCTTGGGTCCTTAGGCGTCCAGCATCTTAGGGATCTTGGAGGCTATCAAAACAGGAAGGATTTCAAATCATTTAGTCCCTTCTCAGTGGTAAGGTGGTGGTGAGTGGGATAGCTAACAAAGACTTTGAAAAGTTTGTAAAACTTGGAGTCAAATAACCTCCAGTTTTCATCCTCTTGCTTTAGCACGCTTGTTTCTTCTCCCTACCTTCAGAGCTACCGGCTCTGGATAAGGATAAAATGATAGGCTTGATTCCCTCAAGCCTCTTATTTTTAACGTGCCTACTGTTTTCTCTCTTACCTTTTATAACAAAAAGACTTTAGGATGCTCCTTTCATACAGAAATGGACCAAGGACACAGAGCAAGTAAATGTACAGTTTTGCTATATCATGTCTGGGGCCAAAATCATGTTTCCTCTCCCAAAGGAAGGCACTCCCTCTACCATATCAACCTCCTATGCAGTAAACAAACAAACAAAAAAACCAGATGAATAATAATATATAGAAACAGGATTAAGATCAATGTATTTTAGGCTCAAGGGCTGCCATAACAGTTAATCCTATTTCCCCAGTCATCTATTGCAATGTATTTATGAAATGTCGATTTTTATCAGTTAATTAGCCAGTCCTTAGGAAATTACCCTTACTTCCTCCAGTCGGTCCATTCTTTTTGAAGCACAGATCTAAAAAGAACACTTCCAGGGGAAAATAAGGTCATTCAGATTTTAAAACAATTCTTCAAATTATATTTGGTACAGAGGCCATCTTTTAAAATGAGATTTTATCACACCTTCTCCCCAGCATAAAATATTTTAGTTATTCAAAATGCCGACAGGTAAAACAGTCACAATTCAAACAAATGAGTGAGATTTTTAAAAATCAGAACTGAAATCTGCATTAAAAAAAAAACCATTTATATATGCTAAAATCTAGTAATTACCCTAAGGTGCCCAAACAGTCAGCTCAGAAAAATGAATGTCGACTACCCACCCCCTACCCCAAATCTAAGCCCTCTGAGTTCCATTCTTATCCATGGTTTTGATTTGCAGCTAATTCTGTGAAAATGTGTAGTAAAAATGTGTAGTACACATCTATCTACTGACCCAGATTCTGTGGTTTGGTAGTTCTGTGTGTTAAGGCACATGTAGCTACACACACATTTATAATATACAGGATATATATTCGTAGTTTTATCTGTATACACACTAATGTCTTCTAGGAAACATGTCTGTTTCATAAGTTTTCTGTTTTATAATTTCTCTTTCTTCCAAATCCTACATGAAAAAACTCAAAGCACCAAGATATTGAATTGGTTTCTTGGGATTGTAGAATGAAGAGAACTGTGGGTTAGACTGGGCAGCCAGCACTCTCCCAGGCCTTCTTGAGGGCCAGCTCCAGGTATCTGAAATAATGAGGGAGAGCCCTGAGCAGCCCTGAGCGTGACAGTGCTCCCTGGCTCTGCAGCTTTGTGAGAGCTTCTTCAAGGATATGATTTTATACATTTTCCCCCCCTCATTTCACTTAACCCCTTCCACTTGCCCCCAATCACTAGTCAGTCTCCCCAGCTATCTGGACCTTGTCATAAGTAAAATGAGAGGGTTAGGCAAGACCCTTTAGTAAAATGAAAGAGTTAGGCAAGACCATCTCTACAAGGGACCTCTAGCTCAAACAATCTGGGATCTTCAGGATTATTCATCAGGATCAAGGGACGATGGATGGCATTGGCAGAACCCCTATGTCTATAGGTTAAACGTTCTATTCCCTTGAATGTGACCTTTAGGAGTTTCCAGGTGGGGGATACTTTACTAATGTCTGAATTTGTGACATAAGGGGAAATCTATACAACTAGAAGTAGGCTGGGCATTTCTATAAGACTTATAAGAACAATGGTTTCATTTATTTAAATCACACTTATAGATGGATGCCTATGGATAGGAACCCAAATCTAGAAAATTTACAAAATATAATCTCTTTAGAAGTTGAGCTTACAGTGTTTATCAAAAAAAGGTAAGCCATAATCTTCAAACCTGACGTTCTAAAATAAAACGTTGCCCACATTACTTGGTATTTCTTTCTCTCTCTCTCACACACACAAAAACTCTCACACATACAAGATGGAAAATTAATCAAATCATCAGCAACAGGAAAGGTAGACTACTACTCGTGGCAGGCCACAGAAGAATATTTGAGGACACAAACGTTTCTGCTACCCTAGGGAAGAGGTTTGCTTTACCTAGCAAGTGTGAGTTTGGTTTATAGTTCATTGATCGGGTGATTCAAACCAGTTCATAAGATTTCATTAAATTTACATGAGCCTCCCCCCCTCCCCTGGAACAATCATGGGCTCTTCCAGAAGGTGACTGGAGTGGAAGCGGATCCTCAGCAGGAGGTTGTGAGATGCACTCACAGAGAGTCTGCCCAGCCCTGGGCTCTGCCAGCTCCCACGAGTCCACACTGCCTGTCTCAGCTGCAGTCAAAGCAGTTACACATGTAACAGCAAGGATAAATGGCTCAAGGATATACCTCCCCACATTCGTGTTCCTGCCTAACCTCTATTTGAATCTATCCTTCTTGAAGCTCCACCTCCAGAAATAAGAGTCAGAGGGGGGAAAGAATTTTAATAATATTAAGAGACTTTTTGAGGCTACTCAACCATCTGCTTTATCCTTAAAAGACAGAAAAGCTCAACCTTAAGAAGTTAAAGCAAAAAGCAAACAAAGTAAGAAACACATCACACTTGGTAAGCAGAAACATCTCCCAAAGCAGCTCCATTTTAGGTATGGCACTTTAATTAAAGAAGTTAGCACATTCTATTTGCTGAGCAGGAATTATTTCTAAGGAGCCAAAACACATTTATTGATTCCTTCACTTTAGCTTCTTCCTGCAGATAAATATCTCTCCAAATATAAATCCTGTTTGCTGACATCTTTCTCTAAAGAACATACCTTGGATTCAGCACATGAAATCAACCTGAATGCAGTCATCTCACCTTCCTTTTAACTCTTTTGGGTTACAGAGAAACAAGTGTCATAAAAGCATTACCTCTGCCAAGAAAGCCACCTCCCAGACTGCAGTTTATGCTGCTCTGAGCAAGAACCGGAAAGGCTGGGCCAAATTGTCAGCACGAACAAAGTAGGATTACAAATCCTGTCTTTTATCTTGCAAACACACACAGACACACACACACACAGACACACACACGTTATCTTTATTTAGTCTTTTAGTGGCAAGCTTCCCAATCACTTGAAAGCAATCAGAGGGCAATAATTAACATGCATTTACTCTCCTATAGAAAACATTCAGAGCAAGCTGTGACAAAGCTAAGGTAACCATGCATCTGTGGGTTACAGTTTGTTCCCTTTCAAAGTTTCCCAGCACTGCACCTTGGATACGAGGCCTATCATTAAAGAATGTTTAGCTGGTACCTCTGGTCTTTCATTTATTGATTTAGAACACCCAACTTCTATTTACACCAAAAGATATGCTCTCTCCCAGTGGCATTTTACACACACACACACACACACACACACACACACACACACACACGAGATAAAACAAAGCTGGGAAGAATGTGTTGGTGCAAAATGAGAAATCGAATCCTTGCCTGGCTCAGGTGCTTGCTATTATAAACTATGACTAAGACACGAATTTCTCTATGATGCAACTCTCAAGAGAGGCAGCATTTTTCTCTAGGCCTCTCTTAAACCTGCTCATTAGCCAGTAACTAATGCTCTCTAGAGCTGCCCTGTGCTGCTCAAATTTCATCAGCCAGCTTTGTCCTTGATAGTTCTTCCTGGACCATAAAATCTCCCAGACCTGTTGAGGACAGCCCCAAAAGATCAGTGTAATGCGAACTGTGCCTGTGCCAGCACCGAGAGCCGTCTTTTGAGCTCCCACTGCATTTGTTATCTCAGTGATAAAGAGCACTTAAAGACCATTTTAAGAAAGTTTTTACTCTTCTCTGAATGATAAAGTCCTGACAACTACATGAAAAATAAGTGTAAATCAGGTCACTCTGTGACCACCTTTTGTCAACTTTGAACTAGAAACAAAACTGACAACATGTTTGGTGAAGCGACAATTAACTGGAATCTTCCATTAACTATTTTCTGCACCTTTAAAAGAAAAAAAAAGTCAGGCTCATGATTTGCATCAAGGATTTAATTTATAAAACAAACCCCAAAAAACCACTGTAAAAGGATGACCGATTTATGGATGCTTGGTCCAACAACTTATATATTTCAATTAATTTATCATTTGGATCTTGAAGCCTTGCAAAATTCTTAGGCAAAAAGACATTTTAAGATAAAATCATGTTCAGTAAATCTCACCTGCAATACAGTAAAAGCACTTCAGAAATAATTTCCATAAGGAATGAAACAAATTCGGAGGGGGGTTAACTTTGAATTATTAGAAGAAACCAAACACATTCCACTGTCCAAATATGCTGGCTACAACTGGAAAGAGTATTCTAGACTTGGATGATCTAAGACCAAACAATTTCAGAACACATGTGCCACCACCAGAAAGGTACTTACAGTTATCAGACTGAAAATCTGGGACAAACTGTTCGTCATCAGGAACTTGTGCTGGAAAAGAGATTTTTATTTTAGACCTTTAAGTTTTATTAAAAAGCACAGTAAAACGTTTTATGTGGAAAATAGGACAGCCAAGAAACTTGCCTTCAGCTAACCAAGCCTCTTGAAGTTGACTGAGATCCTGAAACAACTCTGGAATTGAAAACAGAAGACACCAGAATGAGGAGAATTCTTCTGCTAGGGAGAAGAGGGAAGAGCTGGCTGCATGCAGCTTTCGCAGGGAGCCATGTGAACAAGCCACAACAGAGGGGAAAGCTCCACTACCTTCAGAATCATGAGCCAGATCTGTGTCCAAAAACTTCCTCTTTCTGTCAATCACAGGCCGCCCTCTACTCTCCTCTGACCGAGATTTCTGAAAGAGGCCAACAGACAGTGAAGACTCAAGTGTAATAAAGGGGTCCAAAGGGGGTTGTGCCATAAACCAATAAGGAGAAGACTCATGTTCGAAGAGGGAAGACAAAACAAACCAAAAGCCACATAAACTTACCCCTGGGACCATAAAAGGGACTTGTTGATCATAAAAACCATCCATGGTGCTTCCAATGTCTCTAATGTCACTTTGGAAGGTCTCAGCATTGAGTAATTTCTGGGGGGAAAGGGGTCCTCCTGTAATACGAATTTGGGAGATTTTAACCGAGAGGGGGGAAGAAAGAGAAATGAAGTAATTTTATATTGCTTGTCCTTTTAGGGCCTGTGCAAAATCACTACCTTTCTCTGAGGTAATTAAAGCCCACTTCAAGGTGTAAGCTTTACAGACTAACGCTGGGCTTGATTAATGGCATCAAAGATTCATGGTGTACTTAGTGCCAAATCCATTCACCTAGTCAGTCTTTTCATCTTTTTCTCTCTCTTTTTACTTAATCATTAAAATTATAGGTTTACTACTACCTGTCCCCTACCAAAAAATAAAAAAGACCTTATTTTCATTAAAAAGGGCGATTTGAAGATTCTCTCCATAAGAATATTCCCCAGGGCGTTTGTAGTGGTAGGGTTCTTTTTTTTTAGACATAATTTAATTTTTGACAGTACAGTGACAGGAAGGAGAAAAACTGGGTTTAAGCATTCCAAATTATTTGCAATTAAGAATCTGACATACATACTGTTTCTAAAAGTATTTTGTAGGTCAGTGGTAAAACACTGAAAATAGTTCCAGGAATACAACGATCAGTGGTATATCTAACTTCATACACAACTTTTTATTAAAACTTAAACCTTCTGTCCAAACAGCTGTAGTGTCTGTAATGTCACCGATATCTCTGTGGCAACTTACAGAGATGTCTGTGATATCTCCAACTTCTTAAAGAATAAAGTAGCTATGAAAAGTAACACATAAAGTTAACTAAATTCCACTGCACATATTTTAAATGCATCTCTACCACAGATCTTTAAAAAGCATTAAAAGCAAAAGATCCATGGAAAGAAAAATGAGTTTATTATAATGAAATCATTTTTTCTCAAATATGACCAAAAAGTAAAATTAAATTTGTTTCAGCACTGTCAAGTGTTGGGGCTGGGAAGGGAGGTTGGGGGTCAGAATGGAGAGGAGGAACTTTTTCTAATTTGAGAGGTATAAACTAACAATTTTAGGAAAGTGCCATTTTCCCGAACACTGTTTTATTCTTCAAACAAAAAACGCAGTTAAGTCAACAAAATGGGGGAAACATTAATTTCACTCATCCCAGCTCTAAGCAATGCGAAACAATTCAGGATAAATCTTTTCTTTAACTTGTATACAAATGTTAGATAGGGAACTTTTTCTCGGTGGGCAATTCCATCCAATTTGTTTTTCACACTGTGTGAAACATATCCAATTTTTGTAAGTTAGCAGGATACGAGGAAACCCTTCACGGCCAGCCTCCTCTCAGCACTTTGGTCCAAGTAATAAGATATTTTCCAAGTCAAAGAGAAAGAGGGAGAGGGACAAAACTGCACACTTCATAACTTCCTAGAAAAACACTTCGGCTAGCCTGCCTGCGTGCCTTCCAAACAGCGCTAAAACGTTCAGAATAAAGCTTCTTTCCCAAATGTCACCAACCCGTAAACAAAATCTGAGGCGCATCAGCAGTGAGCTGAGGGGCAAGAAAATGAGTTCTCTGCAGCCTTCAAAAATCTGTCAGATAAAATAAATCGTGGCCTTAGAAATTCTGTAAATGTCTATTGGGAGAGGGGGACAACGGGTAGGAGATCGGAGGGGGAGATATTTTCAGTCTCACGATGAAATACGTTGCAAAAATACTTCACCATGAAGAGCAAAAATACCTTTAAAAAAATTAAATGAAAGAAAGAAGCGAACCCAAAAGAGGGATCAAGGATCTTTAACGCAGCTCTCAAAGTTCAAGGGCTAGAAAAATCGTGTTCAAAGTGTAATTTCTTTTAAAGCCTGAAGGGAAGGCTCGAGTTCATCCAGGAGTTTAAACCCCTTCCTTTGTGCCCCCCCCCCCACCCTTCCCGGGGCCCCCAGGAAAAACTTTAACACAGCGCAGCGGCGCGATCGAGGCCCCTCCCCCGCGGCGCGCAGCGGGCCCGGTTTTATGAATGAGAGAGAGCCGCGGCCGCCACATCAGGTAAAGGCTGTAACTGGATCCCTCTCACTGGGCCCCATTCACAAAACAAGACACACTTCCACCCAATTCCCAGCCTTCTCCATTCAAGAAAACTCCTTCAGATGCGCCCCCGCCCCCACTCCCAAAGCTCGCCCAGCCTCCGACGCAGGCCCCTCACCCCAGCGTCCTAGGAAGAAAGCTCAATGCTTCATTCACAAAAAGGGAAAGAAAAAAAAGCCGCAGGGAGCGGCGAGCCAACGAAAGAAACCCACTTCATTCATAAAGTCACCCACATTCATAAAAACGAGCTGCGGCGCCAGGCGCTACCAACCGCCTCCAATCGGCCCCCCCCACCCCCCAAAAAACACCCTTCCAAACATCTCTCTTTGGCACCCCTCCACAATCAGGACTTCGGCTCCCCCAGAGGTCCCCTCCCCTCTGAAAATGCGGTCAGATCCCAAATCCAGCGCGAGGCTCCAGCATCTCTCCATCCCCCGCCCTCCGCACCCATTTTTTTTTCTTTTCCACCATCCCCAGGCCGCGGTTCTGATGCTCTCCTATTTCTCGAGAATCGCCATGCAGCCTGACGCCCTCAGTCTGCTGGGGGTGGGAGTGGGGGGATTGGGTGTCCGCTTTCCACAACCTGAAACTTACAAGGCCTTCATAAGTTCCTGGCCGACCCCCAACCCCGGAGGCTGCACATGCCTATGTCACTTAACCCCTCCAGGTGCTGGGGTGGGGGTGCATCACTCTCAAACATTCCCCCTAGGCTGCTTCAGCCCCCTCCTCCCCCCTGCAAAGATCTGCCGAGTGCCTCTTCTCGCGAGCCTCCAAGTCCCCTCGGGGCTCTCAGGTCTCCAGAGACTGTAAAGCCCGCAACTCCCCGCCCCTCCATCTCCACCCGGGAGCCTCCGCACCTCGCGCTCCCGCTCGCCTCCCCCGCGACGTGCGGAAACCCGCTCTCCGCTAGCTCCGGAACCGTTAGCCGCCCCCGCCCGACGCCTCCCGGGAACCGAACCGGACCTGGCCGCGGGAGGAGGGGGTGGTCAGCCTCGGGAGGGAAGGGGACCCAACCCCAATGGAAAGTGCACCCAGACTCTGAGGATTCTGAATCAGCCAGTGAACTCTCGCCGGCTGGGCCCTTCCTGGATACTCCCTCCTAAGCCCCCTTGTCTCCTCGACGCCCCCTCACCTGAGGCAGCGGCTCTCCTCCCCTTGCAGCGGCCCCGGGGCGCAGGCGCGCTCACGCACGCGCGCACCGGGCCTGGGCGCCTAGGCTAATGGCTGGGCCGAACCGCTACGGGGACGCTGAACCG